TACTCACCACGCAGCACCAGTTGATATCGCACAGCTTATTTCAGTACTCAGTTATCTCAACTTTCTATTGCAAGCATTTGCATAGATTGAGGTTAAAATTCATCAATTCCACCTTTGTGAAGCGAGTAAATCTTCAAAACTCCAGTTCGAAGAGGACAGATGCTGATAACCTGGAAATTACTATCTCCAAAAAATTGAACATCACATATTAAGATTTGAAAACCTTCTTTTGAAAGTTGCTCAAGCAGCTTTGAAGCAAAGTTTATCACTCATAAATTCATCTCAATTTTTAACCTCCAACTTGCGCTTTTATTGCTTTTGAAGTGCTTCAAAAATGCACAAGTTGAAGCTATGGTAAGCGCTTATAGTAGACCAGATAGAGAGAGGTGAAGAGAGGAGTGGAGGCCACTGAACTGGGAAATTAACATGCAAACTTGTGCAGGTGGACTGTTTCTGCTTGTCGACCGACTGTTTGAAGACTAAAACTCAATTTAGCTTCGTAAAAATTTCTGACAGTCACATTCGTTTTGTTGCAAAATTTCGTAGATGGTGAGCTGAAAAATTCAAAAACGTCTCGACAAATTCTTTTGAAGGAATTTGAACGGAATGTAAGAAATCTACGAATGAAAGCCACGTATTATCCCAGAAATTTCTCTTGTGCTCTTTTAAAAAATCCTTCGTACCGCCATAGCTCGTATTAGATATCAGATGTTCTTCTGACCTCCATATTGTACGCAAAACAATATAATGTAACTAATTTTGTTCGCCTCCAATACATGCGTTTTTTGTTAGCAACCAACCACCTTCCGCCTGTTTTCGAATGAGGTGGGCACTGTTTTTGATTTCGTTGTGCTGGTGCGCTGCTAGCATTGCTCCTTTGGGCGAAGAAGTGAAGAGCATCGGCTTATCAGGATATGATATAGCGTCGGAAATTTTCACAAAGTCTATCAATTTTTCGGTCAGTTAGTTGAATCTGCGTTCAAGGTATTATTATGGATGATGAACCTCAGGTGGATCCATGCGAAGATTTCTTTGAGTTTACATGTGGTAACTGGATAGCTGAAAATCCGATACCTGAAAACAAACCCACCTACTCACAGACAGCAATGCTCACTGACAAAGTGGAAGAGCAAATGAGAGGTACGTATTGACATGACGCAGAGCTGCAAGCTCTCTAATTGATAGCGCAAAGTCAATTGTTTGATGCGTAAACATAGCACAGAGAGAAAAACACGAACTAGAAATCTCTGTTAATATAGAAAGTTGCGCACTTCCGGTTCCAAGTCGATGCGTTTTACTTTCAAAGACTCAATGGATTTTTAAGACATATTTGAATCAAATGCGACTTTTGGATCGCAATCTATGAGTACGTTGAAAGCCATCTACAAGAAATGCATGGACAAGGACGAGCTGAATCGCATTGGTGCTAGGCGATTAATAGAATACATCAGGGTAGGCCGCATAGAGCCTCAGGAAAGTCTGTCAAGGACATCGCTTTAGACCTTTGGTGTTTGGCCGATTTTGGATGGAGATGAAAAGTGGAAAGGGGAAGATTTTGATTTGACGTCGCTGCTGATTCATGTAAACTTACGCAATGGCGATGTGTTCTTCATAACCAGTACTACTTACGACTTGAAAAACGTCTCACGCTTTCTCCTAGCGGTTTGTAATTTTTCTATGTAGTGAAGAAGATCGCATACGCTACGTGATTGCTGCTCGTAACGTTTTCAAGCAGAACCCATATAAATCAAAACTAGCTGCGAATAACCTTCAAAGTTTGACTAAAAAAAACCGCAATGTAAGATGAGAACGAGTTGATCTGACCCATAAGGCTTGATTGTCACAAAGGCTAAGGACTTCTTAGTGTGTTAACTACCATGCCTGAGAGCTGATTTCCCTTTTACACGAGGAGCTGTCTAACTCGATAAACTTGGAATCTG